TGATTCAACAACTGTATACATTATGCTATATTTCCCACAAATGTGGCTACCACCTGTCACCATGTAGCACTATTATAATACCATTGGCTAAAGTCCCTGTGCTGCCCCTTCATCCCCGTGATGTATGCATTCCATAACTGGAAGCCTGAACCTCCCACTCCCCTTTATCCCTTTCTGCCTATCTTCCCACCCGCCCTCCATTGGCAATCACCAGTCCTCTGAATTTATAGGTCTTTTTCTGCTTTTTTTTTTCTCCTTTATTCATTTTGCTTTTTAGCTTTCACACATAGGTTTTTCTGTCTGACTCATTTCACTTAGCCAAATGCACTGTAGGTTCATCCATGTTGTTGCAAATGGCAAGATCTCGTTCTTTTTGTTGGCTGAGTAATACTGTGTTGTGTGTACATACCACTTCTTCTTTACCCATTTGTCGATGGACACTTAGGTTGCTTCCATATCTTGGTTGTTAGGAATAATGCTGCAGTGAACCTGGAAATGTAGATGTGTCTTTAATATCCTGTTTTCATTTTGGTAGAAAGTGTAAATACCCAGTAGTAGAATTACTGCATTATATGGTATTTCTATCTTTAACATTTTTGAAGGACCTCCACATTGTTTTCCATGGTGGCTGCCCTAATTTACATTCCGACCAACAATGCTTCACCTTGTTGATGAGGTAGGAATTCTCATCCTAGGGTCATGGGATGCCAAGGACACAACACCCTACATGAGTAGGGAGACAGATGAGACTAGTAGATATTATTAATTATATGTACTCATAGCCCAGGGCGGGGGAAGGACATCACACACAGGGGCACCTAGAGGTTGGCCAGCTTTGTAGTACCAAGAAGTCAAGGAGCCCCTGGTTTCCTTTGGAGGATGTGATTGGCTTATTCAAATCATTCCACAGACTGGCAGGAAAGTGGACCCTACTGCAAAGCGATAAAGAAGAACTAGATCTGCTCCACTTGATAAAGAGGAATGTTTGGCTAGAGGACCTTACATATAGGAGCAGAGTGGGAGGGAGAGCCTTTAGGAAGGCTAGTTGAGCCCTTCCCAGTTTGCCTCACATATAAAAGCAGCACGTAATATCGGGCCTTAATTTTAGGACTTACACTTACATCTTAATGGATTTTATCTACACGGAGGAGAGACTAGAACAAGGATAAAGTTTTAATTGGTAAAGAAGTAGCAGTTACCCATTTTAGCCAGGAGAGGAGGGCATATTCAGCATTTTGGCATGTGACCTTACCTTTGTCTGTGCTTAGGCAAAATTATGCAGTGACCTTGCTCTATCTCAGAGTGACCTTGTCGAGGCTGGTATAGCATGTGATAGGAGAACAACATAGCCCAGCTCTGAGAGTAAAGCCAGCGTCTGATTGTAGTGCTGCTAAGTTTTTTCTTCCCATTTGGGAGGAACTGATGGTAGCAGGGGATTAAATTAGGTGGATTGACCAGAGAAAATTTTCTGAAGGAGGGACTTCAAATCTTGGCCTTCACTGCTAATAAGAAGCCATCCGTACAGAGGACTGAGAAGGATGGAAACAAGGGAGGAAGGGGAACAATTTGTGAGAACCTTCCTGTCAGATGGAAATAGCAAACAGGAAAAATGAAATACCTCATTAGACCTGAGAGATATGTTCTAAAAAGCCATTGGGAGTGTGGCTCTTTGCTTCAGTGACTCTCAAGGGGTTGGAAAAGGGAGAACCAGAATCTTCGAACATGGGGAAGAAAATTTTGGAAGGCCTCCAGGAGATTGTGAGATGATAATCCTCCAAGATGGCTAGTCCCTCATCACGTCCACCATTCCTCCACAGTTTTAATCTGGTTATATAGATTTTATACAGAAAATCCATGCTAATTATTGTTATGGTATAATAATAAAATTTATTAATAATAAACATCCCAGACAGCAGAGAATGGTGGTTATAAGCATGGACCCTGGGGCCACACTTGCTGGGTCTGAATTACAGTTTTGCCATTTTCTACCTGTGTCACCATGGAAAGTTACTTAGCTCATGTATCTCAGCTTCTTCATCTGTAAAGTGGAGATAATCATGGTACCTACTGCAAAGGTTTGTTGTAAAAATTTTAAAAACATATTTAGTTTTAGACCTGGCTTATGGTAAGCACTGTATAAAGGGCTACCTATGGAATAATGATGACTGGTAAAGAAAAAAATCTGTGGTTAATATTATATTCCTATAGTTACAAGTTAATGATGGACTAACCAGGATACATAAATGTCCACACATCTTATTGAAGCATAATTTATCTTACTTATGGTTATGTACAGGGCCTCTACTCTTGCTTCAAGGACAGCAATATAATGGATCAATCTTTGGCAATATCTTCAACTATGCATTTAATTTAAAATAGTTTTTTCTTCACTATCTGATATGTCTGATACATCCAGGCTGACCATAGATAAGGGTTGTAATACTTTCTGTGACTGAATTTTTTGGACTTTGCCTAAAGAATGCACTAGGAGTATCAAATCCTTAATTGAGGCAACTATATTTAGTGTCACTGAAATAAGTGTGATAACAGCTTGATTGTGCAAAGTTTGACATGAAGAAAACACCTGCCTGGTGATAATAGGATACATGAATTTCAGACAAGAGAAAACCAAAGAAAATTATGACTCTGCCTGCCTTGATCAAATAACAACAGAGTTTTCTGTTCATTTCACTATATTCAAAAGTTTATTTGGATTACTATGAAGTGTTAACAGAAAATCGCTTGGATTATGGGTTTATGGCAGGTGAGGAGTTTTAAAGTAATACTTTAAAAGATTTTTTTATATTTACTAGCAGACTTATTAAGGCAAAGTAAAGGGAAAAAAGAGAAAAATACTTTCCTTGCTCTGCATAGTCATACAACAAACCACAGTGATCTAAGAAGAAATTTCAAGTATCTCAGTAGGCCTGGGTGTATCAGACATTAACTTAAATATATGTACATAGCTTTTCTCTAAAGGTTCAGAGCCTCAACAGAAAAATGTTAAACATCTCTATCAATTGCCATTTTTTATATATGAGAGAAAAGCTTTTGAAAAATAAAAGAAACATTACAAACAAAACTGAAAACCTGTGGCTTCTTTTCCCTGTGAGCATAAGAACATTTAATCCTCAATAGGTTGAGAGCGTCATTAAGTAAAAAGGATTTTTCTTGTTTTGATGGCAAATTAAATAAGATTGGTGAAACTCCAATATTATGTACACTGAACTTACGGACTCCATCCTAGTCTGTGTTTTTTGTTTATTTATTTGTTGGTTTAATATAGAGAGAGTAAACCCTCTTGTTAGCCTGCTTTCTATTTCTAATGGACATGTTTACACATAATTTAGGAAACAACATTTTGGCTTGTTTCCTTTTCAGGTTTGTTTTTTTTCACTTAAACAATATCTTAGCATTTACACCAAAAGGTAGTCAATATTCCTGCAAAGTCAGCGTTTAGTTGACTGTAATGAATTGCCCCAAAGAAAATACAGATAACTGAAATATATTTTACTGCAAAAATTTAATTTGGACCTCTACACTTTAATACATCACACTGAACTATTAGACAGACCTGCTAGCTAATAAACCAATTGAGGATATTTTCATTCTCATTTCTTTGCCCCTTCCAAAGATTCATATAACTTAAAGCACACAAATAGCATTTTACAGTTGATGAGGACTTTTACATATATCATCTGGATCTTCCCAATATCGTTATGAGGAAGGGACATTATAGAATTATGGAAGGTTTTATTATTATCTTTATAGATTAATAAATTGGTGGTCAAGCATCATGCTCTTAAGTAAATGCAGCTAATTAGCCTCACAAAGTTAAGTCTGGAATTTTAAGCTTTAATTGAACTTATTGCATTGCAACTGAGAAAACATCCAACTTCTTTTCCACATTAACCCATCTAGTCATCCTTGTGTCTGTATGGCTTCTGAACTTTGAAGCTCTGTCTTCACTTTTATCACTCCCTGTCTGGAATATCACTGCTTTTCTTGAATATCCAAACTGTACCCATTGCTTGAAGTCTAACAAAAGTTTACCTGTTCCAGGAAGTCTTCCATATCCCACTGTTCTTACTCAACTAATACAGCATTTGTCGAGACGGGTTCTTATGTTCTTAAATATTTTATTTATGTCCAGGTAAATTCTTCTACTAGACTATAATAAGCTCCTAAGAACACAGACCAACTCTTAGACTTCTTTGAAACTCACAGCACACTAATAGCTGGATATATAAATATAAATATTATATTGTATTGTATATAATGATAAATATATAAAACTATATATTCATTAATATATAAACATATAATTTGTATTACATAAAATATAAATATTTATTAATATATAATTATATGAATTAAGATATACTTAATATATATTGAATTCATGATAAATGTTTGGCTATTGTATATTACTGCCCAGTGAAGCCATTGCTGAGCCATAGATCATCTTACTATATCTGCATTCCAACCATGTGACTTGTAACAATGTAGTCATTTCAATACGTTCATATACCAATTGACCCTAGCATTGATTTCTGATGGTAGTGAAGCTCAGGCACATGACCTGCAGGATCAAACCCACTACACATGCCTGATGGATTCCCTGAATAGAGAGACATTTGGCCTATATATCAGTATTAAGAACAGGAACAGGAAATGCTATGCAGTGATTGCTTTTCTATAGAATTGCATTAGCCTCACCCATTCTGCTAGTCATAATTTCTGTGCGGGTCAGGGAGATCTATCAATGGTAGTTCCTGTGCTACACCATATGAAAATGCATTCTGTTATTCATTATAAATGATGCTGATCAAACATTGTCATTACAAATTTAACTTGTAGGACAGAAATCTCCATGTGAAAATGACACACTTGATGGCCATTATGGTAAAAAGCAGAAAGATAGTACCATATGACAATTCAGTTCTTCTGGAATGTAAGTATTCTGTTTTTAAACAAGCCACTTTTGTTCATATTTTAAGGAGAATTTGGAGAAGTCTGTAGTGGGCGTTTGAAGACACCCGGGAAAAGAGAGATCCCCGTTGCCATCAAAACTTTGAAAGGTGGCCACATGGATCGACAGAGAAAAGATTTTCTAAGAGAAGCTAGTATCATGGGTCAGTTTGACCACCCAAATATCATTCGACTAGAAGGTGTTGTCACAAAAAGTAAGTACTGATTTTCTTCATTGCTTCTTTTATGTATCTCTAGCTAACTCATTTCCTTAAGAAATAAACAAACAAAACCTTAATAGCAATACCACAGCCATTAAGGGGATAATTTAGTTTGGATATCATCTTCTGATATCACCTCTCGGTCTTGATATTAGGCTATGACATTATCAGAGTTTGCATTGGTCACCAAACAGCTTTGAAATAGTATTTATTACATATAAATTATTTGCTAATCTAACTTGAAGTAATTAATCAAAAGTAAAGAAGTATATATTTTTCTAATCTCTATAACATATTCACTTCTATGTTCACTATATTCACCTCTAAAGCTGCCAAAATTTCAATATTAATAGAAAAAGCAGTTTAAATATTTTGAGTCATTAAGGTAAAATACTTCTGTTTGAAAATAAATCTCTTATACAAATATAGCTACTTGATCCGAAATAAAACTTCTAAACGTGAATCCCATCTACATAAATGCCATTAGAATTAAATTACTTTTAATTTATATAAAATGGAGAAAAGAATTACAACTTAGAGAAAGAAATCCTGTTTTTACCTAAATAGTGGGATCAAAGCCATTCCTTTGAAGTTTCTTAAAAATACAAAAATAACCTTATACTCTAAGAAACAGATTGCCATATAATCACTTTTATTTGAATAATGATAGGACATAGACATAAACCTAAGTATAGTTCTCCTTATTTTATTCACAAATGAATTATAACATACAAAACCCAATAGAGAATAGCATTGAAAAAACTCATAAAAATAATTTAGATCTTTGAGAAGCATTTTTTCCATAAAACTGAAATTTCTTCTAAAACTGTTTATGGGAAATTAAAACATCATGTCATATTTGAAAGCAGAAAAGTATAAAAGCTTACCAAAACATTTATTGACTATGTGTTCCTCAGTCCTTCTCACAAGGCATTGATCAACATGATGCCCTGATAGTTTGAAAAACACAAGAATGCTTTTTTTTCTTTTTATGATTATCCATTTTTAATTTCAAGTTTTTATTTAAATTCTAGTTAGTTAACATATATAGTGAAAATTGGTTTCTGGTGGAGAATTTAGTGATCCATCACTTATATACAACAACTATTGCTCATCACAACAGGTGCCCTCCTTAATACTCATCACCTATTTAGCCATCCCCCACCCACCTCCCTCCATCAACCCTCAGTTTGTTCTCTATTATTGAGAGTTTCTTATGGATTGCTTCCCTCTCTCTTGATGGGAGAGAGCTGTTGGACTTGTCTGTTACTATAGTGACCTTAATGGAGCCTTCCAGTATTTATGCCCTTGTGTTGTTCTTTCCATTGATTCTGGGTTTGTCCATATGACTGGCCTTGGCTAATGGACATTAGCAAGTGTGATGCAAGTAGAAACATCTTACATGTCTGCACTTTGGAGCTTGTCCTCTTGCCACACTGCTTCCTGTAGCCCATCCTGTGCTGAGCAAAGCTGGTCCATATGGTGAGGCTTCAAGCAGTATTGGAAAGAGGAGGACAGCTAGAATGTCTGGTTAACAGCTCTAAGTGAGCTCCCTGCAGATAGCCTGAATGCTTGTGATAAACAGCCTCAGACGTTGCAGCCTCTCCCCACTACCACCACCACCAAAACCAGATGGCTGTAGCTGCAGTTGACACCTTGTAAAGAAGTCACCTCGCTCATCCCATAAAATCATGAGAGAAGATAAAATTATTGTTGTTTGATGCTCAAAGTTTTGAAAAGTTAAAATTCTCCTGCCAATTAAGAGTTGTGCAGCTTCAGGTAAATTATTTACCATCCCTGTCCTTTACTTCAGCATCTATAAAAGTAGGTCCAAAATTACTCCTACTCCATAGGAATACTATACTAATTAAATTTGTAAATGTATAAGGCATTTAGCATAGTATGCATCGTAATAAGCCACATGAGATGGTAGCCATTGTTGGCGTTCTGTGTCAGGCACCTTTACACATAGAGTTTACCATTTTGTTGTCACGGCAACTACTGTATCACTATCCCCTGAAGCTCAGACAAGTTAATTAACCTGCAGAAAGACCTCTAACCCATATTAAGTGGCATGGCTGGTATTCAAGCTAAGGTCTTTTTGACTCTAAAACCCAAGGTGCACGCGTGTGTGTGCGTGTATATGTGTATTATTGTGTTTTTTTTCTTTTTTTCTATATTACAGTGAGTGAATCAGTTTTATACTTTAATTATCTTATCCGGATTAAATAGTATTAAATTAAAGAGAATCTGAATAAATAAAATAAAACACTACTTCAAATAAAGAAAATATTTAGGTTAGTGAAATAGGTTATTTCTAAAATGTAAGACTTGGAAAGATCCAGCTATACCACAATAGCTAGCAAAGACTGTAATCTAAAAGACAGAAAGAAAAGAAATAACACGTTATTTCATTTATATTTTCTGACTTCCTTGTCATTAGTTTAGTATGAACTTTCCAATTCATTCCTACTGTCTTATATCTCTCTGGAAGGAAAAATATAATTTTAAAATCGGGTTATGAATCTTGGCAAAGTATTTAAAATAACAATTTACATATAATATAAAGTCTTCTTATGTGTATTTTGCATGTAATATCCAGAAATAAGTGTCAAACAATAAATTTAGAGGTTGAAAAGCATTAGACCCTTTTTTCTCCCTTTGATTAATACCTTTATATGACTTTGTCAAGTATTCCTGTGTGTTTTACTCACATATTGTCATATATTTTATGTGCATATATATATGCATAAAAGTATATGAAAAGGAAAAAGATTTATAGCCCTATGAAGCAGTAAGATTTATTTAGCCTAAATCAACTAAGTTTAATGAGATAGCCTGTGGCACTTGTCTGCCAGTTTGAAATACACCGTTTATGTCATGTAAACATCCCAACAACCGACACAGTGATTGTTTCACATCTGTGACAATCTTATCTAAAAGTGGAAACAGTGGCCTCCCCATAGCCAGATTTATATGCTCCCTAAGTCAAGGTCCTTGTTCCATTTCAAGAAAAAGAAAGAAGTGGGGGCAGCAGGGAAAGAAGGAAAAGATAAAAAGATAGTTGAGAAAAGACAGACTCAATATGCTTTTGAGAGGCAATCATCATTACAAGGGCGTTGTGTGGTTGCTGAGGTGCGTGGTAGAGATAGAGAAAGAAGTATTCCCACAAAGATAAGTGGCCATATTTATACTGTTATCTTCTTGACTCGAGTGCTATGAGATTTTTAAGAGAAAGGCAATAAATAAATGAATGCCTCATTCCCATAAATACATGGTAATTGTTCCAAGATTGCCCTTAAGTAGCTAAAAGATAGCTAGCAATTAATGCTCCCTAAGGACTACCATATTGCATAAAAGATAATACGGACAAAGATAAAGATGCAGGATAGGTTTATGCAGTCATGTTAGTAGAGTATCCTGGGGTTCTGAGAAATAAGCACATAGACTCTCAATTGAAAGTAATGCAAAAGTATAGATAAAAATCTTCATCAGATCCTTTTATAAATTCTTAATATGCATACTTTTTATCGTATGTGCACATTTTATCTCTGAGAGATACATATTACAAAGTCCGTGGGAACACACTTGCTCTTTCATATTCAGGCATATAACTACTTTTATTTTAAATTTGAAAGTTAAATGATGGGGATCCCTGGGTGGCGCAGCGGTTTGGCGCCTGTCTTTGGCCCAGGGCGCGATCCTGGAGACCCGGGATCGAATCCCACGTCGGGCTCCCGGTGCATGGAGCCTGCTTCTCCCTCTGCCTGTGTCTCTGCCTCTCTCTCTCTCTCTCTCTCTGTGTGTGTGTGTGACTATCATAAATAAATAAAAATTTAAAAAAAAAAAGAAAGTTAAATGATGAATATCTGAATTATATAAAAAGTATGTGTGATAAAAGTTGAACCTATTTGTTTGATACACATCACAATTTCATTAACCTATAAGATAAAACTGATATAAAAAGAGATTACTCAAGCTAAATCATATGTTTAGCACATACTTTTTCTCCAAGAAGCAAATAGAACCCATTAGCAAGAGAACAGACTTGGAGCCATTAGTAACAAGGATAGTCTAGCAATTTGTAACTGGTGAGGTGTACACCTGTGTCATTAATTACATGACCAAAAGAGAAAGTGCTACCCTCCTATAAAAAAGATAAGAATTGTAGTTAAATGATGAAACAAAATAGCTTAGTAACTGTACTCCAGGAGACCAAGTCCAGCAGTTTGAATCATGATAACAGAAGAAACAAGAGAGAGAATTAATGATGTGTCCACTGCCCAGCTTAGTAGCTGATAATTAAATTTAGATATACCAACGATATCTCAAAAAAACATAGATCTAGTAAGAAATAATAGAAGCCAGTCAGGATAGCAAACGAACCCTCAAATGTAACTTTATTTCATTGTAGGACATTCCTAAAGACTCTGTGGGACAGCACAGAAGCTGTAACAGAAAGTGCTGGGCCTGAACAAACCTGCCTTAATGTTGTGGGTTCCTTCCAGACAGTTTCAATGGGTCCACATGGGCTCGAAGTCAAAGAGAAGATTCAAGTCAGGCAAATGCATTGTACAGTAAATGCACAAGAACTTCCTCTGGTCCCAGAATTACGTTCTTGTCAAGTAATACCTTGTCCAAGATTTTAACCATTACTGTTGCCACCAATATGTTACCTGCCTCTCCACCAGGTTGCATATCCTACTGCCAGTTACAAGGTATTGGGCAAGCCATTCAATGTCTTTAGATCTCACTGTTTATCCTCTGCACAAAAGATTGAAAATGCAAATTGGACTAGAAAACGCTAAGGGTCACATTTAACCTTAATATTTTGTGTTCCATTTCTTTGCCAAAGGAAGAGAGTCACAAGATGTTGGTGAGGAAAATTCGTGCCAGTGATGTTACCCCACTTCTAACTTTTATTTTAAGATTTTATTTGTTTATTCATGAGAGGCAGAGACAAAGGCAGATGGAGAAGCAGGCTCCCTACAGGG